AATTAAATATTAAACCGCGCCTTCATTTGACCGTTTAAGCTTTTCAGAATAGTTGGCAGTAGTCCCGCCGAAATCTCACATGGTATCAGAGCGAGGTCCTGAGTTCGAATCTTTCCAAGTTTTTAGAAAAGTTGGCAGTGATCCCGTCAAAATCTCACAGGAATTGCACCTTTTGTCTTCGTTTTTGTCCAATAATGTCTCGCTTGCTTATGATTCTTGTATTGTCCGTATCGGTTACGTAACTCTCTTGATTTAGTTCAATCATTTGCAAAGGACCGTAAATTATTTCCGACACAATAAAGAACCAAACTATTGAAATGACCAAACTTCAGGAACCGTTGATTTCCAGAAAGAGAAGGTTGGACGAGCATGTGGGCGTATAACTCGTATCGTTGGCAAAGCTAAATAAAGAGGTGATAATAATCTCCAATTTGTAAATTTCAAGTTATACGGTACAAATGAATGACGCCTGTTGAATGGACGAATCACTGGACCTGACCTGAGGGACAAGGACAACGATATTGATCGTTCAGTTCATTAGAATGGCCAATATCAACCAAGCTTCGATATAATTATAAACGAGAAAAAGCCATTACAAATCTCAAACTATTCCCGTTACGACACGATTACCCTATATATTTTATCGTGACATAAAAAATCTCATATTATGCCCACTTTAACACATTTATCCCAAACTTTTTCTTGACCCCAAACTTATATCTAAATCAAGGTTCCATCAAGTGATTTTTTTAGTCAAAACAACGTCATTTCTATTTCATTTAAGTCTCGTGGAAGCCCTATCAACACCGTTTGCCTTCCCGCGTTCATGTAAGCAGATTTTTAATGATGCTCATTGATGGGATCTCGACAAAGGGTAAACGTGTCACACGGATACGAGTTTGAGATTTTTGATATCACGGAAAAAAATTTAGGGTAAATGTGTCATAGTGAGCATAGTTTAAGGGTTTTTCTCGTGGTTTTTTCCCTAATTACAATATACATGAGCTTATAGAACTCGGGAAAATTGTCCAATTAGTCGTAAACTTATCATATGATTGCCAATTCAGTCATAAACTTTCTAATTTTGCCAATTTAGTCCTAAATCTTTCCGTGGAATTCCAATGTAGTCCTTTCGGTCAGTTTTCGTCGAAACGTAAGATGGTCGGCAGTGACTTGACGGTCACATCAGTGATTTTTGACGAAAATTAGCCGGAAGGACTATATCGAAATTTTACGCAAAAGGTTTCGGATTTTAATCGGCCAATAATTGAAATGTCATCCGTACAATAGGGTAGCCTTGATTGGGTAATTTTCCTTATAGAAATGCCCGGTTCATAACTCATCTTAAAAGAAAATGCTTATTTTTTAATTTAATTTAAATAAAATTTGAATAAAAATCAGATTTTGACTTAAAATGACATTATTTTAGTCTTATGTTTCATGTTTTAGCCACGTCATTAGCGTGTAGGATAAAGAAAACGAAATAATAATAAGTCAGCATTTTCCGTTAACCAAGTTGGATAGAGTTAAGGAAATGACTCGATTGTATTAATTTGACAAATTTAATAACTTGATTGCATCTTTTACGAGTTTTGGGATTTAATTGCAGTTTCGCAATAAGTTTTAGGACTTTCGCCGCACTTATCCCTTTACGTATTTAAAAGATGCTCAAAATCATCATAGATACTCAATAAAACGAACCAATTACCCAATATTCTTAAGAGTCATAACAAAGCATCCATATCGAGAAGGAGGAAAGTACTTTATGTTCGGCTATATTTAAATAGTTTTAGACATTGAAGACCAAACTCAAAGTACAATCGCTGATACTAATAGTGGAAACCTGCCAATTGGCATGTAAGCCCGTTTGAGAGGCACGAGCTTCTCACCTAATGGCTTTTGATGAGATTCAACTTGTAAGTTGTATTACAGAAGTCCCATGTCGAAGAATTGATGTGGTGTGGAGCAGTTAATATGTCCTAGTTGGCTCGTGACTCATCGATTTAAGTTTTCGAGTGAATTACATGGTAACACGCGTAATTTATAATCATCCGTGGAATTTAGTTTTCTAATAGTCCAAGTAATTGTTGTTCGCCAAAGTCAAAAAGTTTTTCATAACAGATATTAGATTTTATCAATAGAGAACTATGCATATGGGTTTACCCGCCGTAATATTTACTGATCACTCGGATTTCGTTCATCTACAACACTATCTACCTAGGGCAAATTTTACTTTTAAATTGACTTTGTTCATGTACAACACTATCTACCTAGGGCAAATTTTACTTTTAAAATTTTTAACTTAACTTCCTTTTTTACTTCTAGGATTATCTGATTTTATTTTATAGTGAACACTCCAAAGGTCCAAAAGTATACCGACGTTAGCATTTAGAGATATCTCGTGTCAAGTGAAACATTTTTCGTAATTTTTCGACGATTTTCTTTCCCACGGTTTAGTCATCGTTCTTTCAGCAATTTTCGTTTTCCCTAAAAGTAACCCGACATTTAATTATTCGGCATACGACATAAAATAATAACATGCGCAAAAAATAAAAATTAAAAAAGATCTTCTTACCCAAAGAAAAACACACGCCTTTTAGTTCGAAAAAAAGAATTAAATTGTTTAATTGTTTAGGCAAATATTCTAACCATGGATGCTTTCACTAGCACAGCCCATCCCTCGCTCTGGTGCCAGCAACGGTTGCCACGTCGGCCGCATGGGATTATACCTTCCCAACTATTTTTGGGCGGCATTAAAAAAGTATCATTTAGTTAATCGCATTCGCAAGTTTAGATGTCTCAATACATGTCATTATGACATGTCATTATCAGTGTAATAGCATTTGACCAACATGATTATTTCGACATGACTTATGGTTACGGAAATGTCACATGCGAGGCCTTTGCACGGTGCATGGCTTTTGTCACACGCCATCGATGAGAAAATATCTCGAAATCGTACTTGCAATTAGGAACCTCCAACTATTCACTTGATGTAAACATAGAAGCCTCCGCGGCCTGTTTGTTTAATTTACAGTGACGGCAAATTTCGCAAATGCGTTCCTTACGCCTCCAATTATCCTTGTATCTTTATCTTTCCTAGGCGGAGAGAATATCTTTTGAAAATTTTTATATTCCGTTAATCTCGATATCTGGACGGCGATCAAGATTGAGCTTTTCAAGGACCCTGCTCGAGTCCAACTTTTTTTACTCTGATGCTATGCCATTATTGATCACATTTGTCCTTTCGTCGCAACTAGTTGACGTTGTATGCACTTTTCTTCGCGCAAAATTACTGCGTGCGTTTGAATCATAAGTTACATCCATGTAGTTAGTGTAGATCCTACACGAGTGCGAGATTTTCGTGAGACAATATTGGTAGGCCTTCGTGCCGTGTGTATGCACTTTTCACTTGACGCATTAGGCAAATGGGATTTAGAAATATTTGAATTTGGGATCTTCTTGCCCTGATATTTTATGAGATTTTATAAGGTCACTGTCAACTGTTTACAAAGCTTAAACCGTCAAACGACGAAGGTACGATTTAACATTTAATTATTTTATTAGAACAGATCCCAAATCGAGCGACTAATGCCGTTCGATTTGCATTAGGAATTTGTTCTACATCTTAAGAAAGCAATAAGCAGTTTTCTTATGTGCTTCACAAGTTGCTTTGTGACAGAATAATCAAACGGCACCGGTCACTCCATGGATCCGACTTGCTCGACTCGGTAAAGAGCCGCAATTCTTATTTTTTTTTTTATGAAAAAGGAATGGAGCGAAAATAGCGAAAAGGTGATTTGACCTGTTCGAATGAATTCACCACGATTTTTTTTTTAAAATTTGTTCTATTCTACACTCATTCCAATACTATTCCTAACTTTTAAATAACCAAGTACCATTTGACCAAAAAAAAAAAAATAACCAAGTACCACTTTTTCTTTAAAAAGTATATCTATATATATATATACACACACATAAATATGTTCGTGTGAATCGTGATAACGAAGAGATTTTTTTTTGCTAGAAATGAAAACAAAGAGATTGTGTGTCTTTCTTGAATATTTTCCGATGTTTTTATGCTGTAGATTTCACACTTCGCTTTCTTTATATTTTTCTTTTACTTTTTAGTCCATTAAAACCCTTATTTGGAGATACAAATATTTAATAAATGCATGTAAATATTCATTTGTATTACAATAAAATGTGAGACATTGGTGCTTCGATGAGGTAATCTTATTAACACCATGGATTACGGGTCCTTTGACAATCTAAAATAGGGAACTCCAAAGACATATTTCGATAGTATTGGTAATGACGACGACGACGTAGATGCACGATTTGTCATGATCCTTGGAGGAACGCACTAGAAATTCCATACTATGTCGAGATCGTTAAACACATCAACCGCTCTACTCTCTATCACATTCTCGACGCGAGAATTCTTTTGTGTACCGTCTAGTCCCGAGTGGTATTGGCGGTTTGCTTTCTCTAAAGATTTTCACGATTTCTCTCCTTGCATTCCGCGGTAACAATCATGTCGTCAAAAAGCGAAATTCATTTAACATACATTAACATATATTTCACGGCAAAAACAGAAATTGACTCTTTTTTTTTTTGGGCTAGAAATTGACTTTTTAACTGCTTTCACCGTGGAATTAGAAAAAGCCACCGTTCTCTCTCTCTCTCTCTCTCTCTCTCTAAAGTCGCTGCTACTACAAAAGCCCGAAGCAACGTTACTTTCTACACGCTCCAAATGGCTGTGCAGTAATCTCTCGCCCAAAGCACAGAGTCAGAGACGACTCGGAGCGGACGACGGCAGAGAAACGAAGACACTACCACACAGATCGACCGCCATTGAAGCACCCACCTCACAACCTCCGCCGCCACCACCCGCCCGCCCACCTCCGCCGGCATTTCCCCTCTCCTCCGCCCCTCCTCCTCCTCCTCCTCCCCCTCCTTCCACCGCCGCGACCTCGGCTTTCCGGCGAGCCCCTTTTTTCGGCCCTCGACCTCGCCGTTTACCCGGGCAAATTCGCTCGAGCGAAGCCTCTGTTTCGATCGGTCTAGGCTCGCTTGAGTTGAGCCCGCATTCACTTGGAATCTGACTCGGGTGCGGCTCGATTTTGATCAGCTCCCGGGCCGAATTCGATGGAGCCGACAGCTCTAACCCTAGCCGGATCCGCCGACGCCGCGCTGGAGTCGCTCCTCCCCGAGGACATCCGGCGCCTGATAGCCCCGCCGCCGGAGAGCGCAAGTTCCTTCACGGCGCTCCTCGAGCTCCCCCCGACCCGGGCCCTCGAGCTCCTCCACTCGCCCGAGGCGCCTAATTCGCCGGGCGTCGCCGTCTCCGGCGAACCCGCGAGGCCGTACCTGCACTGCCTCGGCGGCGGCGGTTTCCCTTTCTACATGGATTCTGACCTCGTAGAGCGCGCTGCGAGGTACTCCGTCTTGGTCGGAGAGAAGAGCGACTCTCTGGAAACGAGCTCGCAGAAGGTGAAGAACGAGCCGCTGACGGAGTCCGACTCGAACCACAACTCGTCGCCGCAGCCGTTGGTGTCTGATCCGACGGTGGAAAACAAGGGGCAGAGACCGCCGAAGAGGAAAGACCGAGAGAAGAAGGTAAAGAAGGAAGAAGAAGAAGAAGAGAAAATCCCCGAGTGAAAATTAACACTCTGGCACGATTCTTTCGTTACGTCCGCGGAAATTTCTGGGTCTTTTCTTTCTCTTTTCCAATTTTCGTGCATGAATTTTGGGTTTCAGGCGAAAGGGTCGGCGAAAAAGAGCAAGAATGAGAGCTCGGAAGCTGCAGAGGAGCTTCCTTACGTCCACGTCCGAGCTCGTCGCGGTCAAGCCACCGATAGCCATAGCTTAGCAGAGAGGGTATCGTCTCTTGATCAAACTTTACTTACCCACTAACCACTGTCATAATTCGTGCTTTTCGTTCGTTTTGGTTACCCTTTTAGCGACGGAATCACAGCGATCTTTGCCTAAGTTTCGCTTGGACTTTGCAGGCGAGAAGAGAGAAAATAAATGCTCGGATGAAGCTGCTACAGGAGCTCGTCCCCGGCTGCAGCAAGGTGAGCGCGTTTCTCCCGTGGCTTGACCCCGAGTGATTTGATTTGAGAGGCGTTTTGGGCGTCAAGATCGTCACTTTCGGAGAGATTAAGGGGTCGTAAATCGTGGGTTTATGTCAGTCTTAATTGTCTCCGAAAAGTGCAATTATGCGTTTGTATTATGTGGCTTTTAATAATTGCGGTGTCATTTTCACCTTTTTAACCAATGTGGGTGGCTTTGTACTAAGGGCAAAAAAGGCATCACGAAGCATCAAAGTCTGCATTGGCAGTTCCGTAATTTCGCCCGGGGTTGTTCTGTTACCCTTTTTGTTGGGTAGGTTAGGAGTCCCTTTTCAGGGCAATTCTGTCCAAAACCCTGAAGGGATTTTGGTCTTTCTGGCATCCGAGAGAGGCTTTAGGCGTTTGCTGGGAATTCTATGTTTGTCCCTGGGGACGTGATAGTGGGGCATTGACATTCGGAATTGAAGTGTAACACAACTGCATCACATTATCTCCGTCCTAGGATGACGATATTGCCCTCGGGGGTGGGATTTATTGGTGGTGGGTCTTTGACACTTGTCTTTGTTGGGATTGGTGGACAAGAATAACAAATTTTTCTTTCTTAAGGGACAAGGAATATTTCCTTTTAGGAATGCTCAAACAAAACCTGCCAACCAACAGCTCTGAGAGATGATGTGATGTCACATAAAGCTCCATTTGCCACCACCACCTCCTCTTCCTCCTCCTCCTTAAGAGTGCCTTCATAAGATATTTTCGCATGATGCAATGCGAGCTGATATCTGTTTAACAAACCGAAGCTAGATTTTAGCCGAGCTACCTATTCGAAGAAGATGGCTACTGCTATTTGTTTAGGACGGTTGAATGTTCTGAATATTGGAGAGAAGGGTGATTTTAGCGGTGCAGTGTTAAAATTGCCAGTAATTGCTGTTGGTCTTCATTTTCTTATCCTTTTCGGCCTAAGCACTGTTTATTCTAGTTATGTCTCACTAAAATGTGTTAATTTGATAAGGAGGGCATCTTTCTTAGGTAGCTTTACTTGGTACTCGTTGTATGGATAAAGCTTAACAACATTCTGAAGGTGGCAAGGTGCCTTCGGTACCTTTCGAGAATAAATATGCTTGCAGCGTGTCTTCAGTTTTTCTCAATTGTGGATGATCCATCAACAATTGGATTGAAAATATCTTGTAATGGACACCTCACTGACTGTCTACCAAATTCACGATCGATTAAAGTTGGAGCCTGCAGGTACTACTGCAGTCATCAATCATCATGCCTCTTTTCCATATTCCTTCAATCTCTTTATCAAGTGTACTGCCTGGTTTTTGGGATATCTTGGTGACTCTTCTGAAGTAGATAGCGGATTTCCAGTTCTAGGGGCTGAACCTTCTGTTATGATGGGCCTGACAAATGGCCAGTAAATTCCACCTTTTGTTTCATCTTAGTTATGTTTGGTCTTGTGGACGAGCTATACGGATTATATTCGTTCCAACGTTCTTTAGGTAAGCGAAACATATCGTGGTGAGTTTACAAGATATTTTTCACTCAAATGCCTTTTTGGGTTGTCTTAGGCCTTGCGATTAGATTTATGCTGAAGTACCTTGAAACTATCCAATAAGGGTTTCTGAAACTTTCTGGCTACTTGCCTAAATTGTGCTGGAAGCAGTGAATACTATATTCTATTCTTATAGATTTGAAAGCGGGATGAAAGTTTTAATTTTGGGTAATGAAAGTGATGCAATGATAATTTGCTTATGCAGATATCCGGTACAGCTTCGGTGTTGGATGAAATCATTAATCATGTGCAATCTTTACAGCGCCAAGTTGAGGTAATTGATACTCACCCTTGAAATAGCAAAGTTTCTCCCGACTGGTTTATTTCTTGACAGTGGTATTTGAAAAGCTTAGGCTTGTTGAAGTCTAGCTCTTATAAATCGCCAGAAAATAATGAAGATCTCACTCTTGAGCTCTGGTGAAATTTCTTCGAAGAAACTATCAAATTTTTGGGCTCTACACCTTTTATCTGTTTCTTTTTCACTTTCGGGTACAGTTTTCACCTAACATTTTGAAGTTTGAGATCTGTAACAAGTAGAAGACCCTTACGGGCACGGAATTTAAAAGTCTCCCTTTTCATTTATTGATACTACAAAATCTAAATGCCTGTTGCCTACATTGAGTCCCTTTAGTTATAGTTGAGGGTGTATATTGATCATGTTGGCTTGCCAATTGCTTTCAATTTCAAATTAAGGGTGTATGGGGTTTTCCATTTCTGTTCTAATAAGGTATTGGAAGATTGAAGGACATGTCCCATGTCTGAGTAATATTTTCTTCTTCCACTTGGTTATTTGTAAAATCGCCAGTTGAAATGATGTTTTTCTCCTTTCTTGTCCATGTAAATTAAGAAAGCATTAAGGTGCTGTGGCATATGGAGCTTCATAAGCCTCGGACAAAGTGTGTGCATTGTTGATTGTACTTTCCAGAATTTTAAATGATCATGATTAGCAGTGTACTTTATAATGGCGTGTTTTTTGTATTTCAGCTCCTGTCAATGAGACTTGCGGGAGTTAACCCAAGGGTTGATTTCAACATGGATAGCATTTTTGCAGCAGATGTACGTATAATTTTCTTATATTTTATTCTGCACTCTCTCAAAATAGAGAGAGACGTCAAGGTGTTTCCTCATGTGGGGTTATCCTCGAATCTTTTGTGTCAGCTGCGACAGAATTTTCTGTGTTAGGTGATGCCAGGGATTTGGCAGAAACATTCTGCAATCTTGTAATAGTACAATGTTCATTGTTACATCTGAAGTTCTTTTGAAATATTAAATAAAAGGTAGAGTAAATCTTGGTCACATACTTCATCTGCATATTGTAGCAGCTGGTACCCTAAAATAAACCTTCAATGTGCACGCCTCTCTCGGTGGCCTTTTCACTTCAGTATCATTCTTTTTTGTTTGAGCCTTGACATTCAACATTTATAAAACCAGTTATTAACCAGACTCTTCCACTGTCCTACACTGCATTAATGCCCCTTCAAGATTGATGGTAGCAGAAATTCTCAGATGTAGAAGTGTCAGAAGAGTTCATTCATTGCCACTGACATTTCTATAGCGCTACAACACAAAAATGTACGGCAAAGAGTTTGAATTGCCCTCTTTGATAAGGTTGTGGTGCAATTTGAATCTTGTACAATTTTCATTGATAAAGAATACCTTTTTTGATCTGTTACATACAACGATTAGTCCTTGTTTCAATCAATCTCATTGTTTTTGCCATTTATTGCTCACTCATTTATAAATTCGACGTTTTTTTGCTTATTTGCACTTGCAGAGCGTGTCTCTGGTAGACAGTAATTTTCCCAGCATGGTTATGCCACCCATGTGGCCTGAAGTCCAGGTGAATGGAAGCAGACAGCAGTACCACCAGCAATGGCAGTTTAATTCACTTCCGCAGCCAGTTTGGGGAAGGGAACAAGACAATCATAATTTTGTCACCCCAGAGAATTCTCTATTGAGTTACGATTCTCCAGCAAATTCAGGTAGTTTCTGTTGCCCGTTTCTTTGATCCAAGCCACATGTTTCCCACTTTAAAATTTTGCCATCTAAAATTCATAAATATGGAGAATAAACATGAGGGTGGGCATTTCTTTTTCCCAGATTTTGAATATTGCTTAAATAGCTGTGGAGTCACGCAGTTCAACTTTGAAATATGAGCAAATTAACTGAAAGCTGGAAGTTCTTGTTATAGTTTGTGAGAAACTTTAACCAAAGCGCCTTTCAAATTTGGTCCTATTCATGTTATTGCCGAATGAATCATACTTATCTCTTCTATTCCTGCAAAATTCCCAATTTGTCATACTAAGTCTCTTTTCATCTCTCCTTTGCAGTGTCTTTGCACTCTCGAGCAACCGAAATTGGAGCTATGAAGGTGGATTGAGGGTCTACTCGTAGTCTTAGTAATTAGTGTATATATTAGCAAGATATAAGGTTTACCACTTTAGCAGGAAATAGGAGGCGTCAGATTCCATTTAACCAGGGTTTCCACGCTTCTACCTCAGTCGTCTTCTAATTTTGGTCCTATGAATTCTTATAATTTAGCAGCGGAAGGAAACCCGCATTTCTCCCAAATTGGAGTACAAAATTCCGTATGCAGTCCGCATATCTGTGCGTATATCATTCGCTAACTCTGAGGATGAGTAAGTCAGCGAGTCTTCATGAGAAGATAAGACTGATCCACATTGTACAATGACAGAACCTCTAAACTATGATGGAAGTAAGATTCCGTGCCGTGATGCATATTTGCCTATGTGTTTCTGCTGTCTTTGATGATACCCTTTCATGGTGTGGAGGCTTTGTCGAGTTCCCCCCACCGACTTGTTGCGAGCGTGAGCATTTTTTTTCGAAGTTTGAAAGCTGTTTATGGCCGTCGAAGATGTGCGGTCCCTTTCCGTGACTTTGCTCCGGTACGTTCCTTCATGGCACATCAGAGTGGAGGGATTGGATGCTCTTAGCATCCCGACATTCGGACGGGGCTAGGCGAGGTTCATAGGCGATGTTTTCATTGTATAGTACAGAAGAAAAGAGAGGAGAGAAATTCTGCTAGTGCTAGATAAATGCACGGCTTATTGATTAAAAAGAAAAGAGATTAGTTCCATGCCTTCTTGGGTGACGCGTGTGATTCTTAGTTGAATGATTAATAGGCAATTCTCTAATAAACCGGCTTTAAAGCTCCTCCTAAGCAACGCCATCTCCAAATACATTTCTGTTTCTTGGCCACAAAGACGATATCAAGAAAAAGTCTACTTCTACTTCTAGCCCCTGCGACGTCCGAGGTAAGATCTTCCAACTATCATGAAGCTCTTTGCTCGACGTCCGAGGTTATTGATGCTTCCAGCATTAGTCCTTGGCTCCAAGGACTTGGGGGTCGCTAAGAACTCGGGATCAACCTAAAGAGATGCTGACAAAGGCGACGTTTCGTCGTACCCGTCAACCCATGCAGCTCTCTCGCTTCTTGTCCAACGCACTTGCCCGCCAAACGGTGGACTCCTCCGTCCTTCCAAATCCCTCAAAGTCGAATACTTTGCGTTCCAACGGTCGTTTGAGGGAGGCGTTGCTGGAGATGGCCATTCAAGGCCCTGAAATGGTGTTCGCAGGATACGTCACGCTCTTGGACGAGTGCGTGGAGAAGAGGGCGTTGAGGGAAGGCCAAAGAGTCCATGCCCACATGATCAAGACATGCTATCTCCCGCCAGTTTATCTCTGGACTCGGCTTATTGTTTTCTACACCAAGATTGGACTTCTGGATGATGCGCGCCGGGTGCTCGACGAAATGACGCTCCGGAATGTGGTCTCTTGGACGGCCATGATTTCAGCTTATTCCCAGAAAGGGTATGCCTCTGAAGCTCTGGATCTTTTCCAGCAGATGTTGAGATCAGGTATTCTGCATGAGAGTGAGCTGTGCTTGTTTACGGTGGGTTCTTGTTTACTTCTTGGTGATGCTAAATAACATTTTGCAGACACAGAGCCAAATGAGTTTACGTTCGCCACAATTCTTGCTACTTGCACGGGGGCGTCGGGTTTTCAGTTGGGAAGGCAAGTCCACTCTTTAGTCATTAAGAATAATTATGAATCCCAAATATTTGTCGGGAGCTCACTCCTTGACATGTATGCCAAGGCTGGCAAAATCCATGAAGCACGAGAAGTGTTTGAGTGCTTGCCCGAAAGGGATGTTGTTTCTTGTACTGCTATAATCTCAGGTTATGCTCAGTTAGGTATTGATGAAGAGGCCATAGAATTATTCAGTCGGTTGCAGAGAGAGGGGATGGATTCGAATTATGTTACTTATGCAAGTGTCTTGACTGCTTTGTCTGGGCTTGCTGCATTGAATCATGGCAGGCAGGTCCACGGCCATGTACTTAGGCGTGAAGTCCCCTTTTACGTCGTTCTGGAGAATTCTCTCATAGACATGTACTCAAAATGTGGGAGTGTTACCTATGCGAGACGAGTTTTCGATAGCATGTCCGAGAGAACTGTCATCTCATGGAATGCTATGCTTGTGGGTTACAGCAAACATGGGATGGGGAGACAGGTCGTTGAGCTTTTCGAACTCATGAGAGAAGAAAATAAAGTTACACCTGATAGTGTTACACTCTTGGCTGTTTTATCTGGCTGCAGCCATGGGGGATTGGAAGAAAGAGGGCTACAGCTTTTCCATGAGATTATAAATGGGGAACATGGAGTTCATCCAGAGATGGAGCATTACGGGTGTGTAGTTGACATGCTTGGGCGTGCTGGTCAGCTGCAAGAGGCTTTCGAACATATACAGCAGATGCCTTTTGAGCCGACTCCTGCTATTTGGGGTTCACTTTTAGGTGCTTGTAGGGTTCACTCTAATGTTGACATCGGTGAACTTGTCGGCCGTAAGCTTCTTGAACTTGAGCCTGAAAATGCTGGAAATTATGTGATTCTTTCTAATTTATATGCTACGGCTGGAAGGTGGGAAGATGTAAGAAATGTGAGGCATTTGATGAAGGAGAAGGCAGTGATAAAGGAGCCGGGAAGGAGCTGGGTGGAGCTTGACCAGGTGCTTCACACTTTTCATGCCAGTGATCGTTTGCACCCAAGAAGGGGGGAGGTTTTTGAGAAGGTAAAAGATTTATCGCTCAAGATAAAAGCCCTTGGTTATGTTCCTGACTTGAGTTGTGCTTTTTACGATGTGGACGATGAACAGAAGGAGAAGATACTTCTTGGTCACAGTGAAAAGCTGGCCTTGGCCTTTGGATTGATGGCTAGTGCTGAAGGAGTTCCAGTCCGGGTGATAAAGAACCTTCGGATTTGTGTTGACTGCCATAACTTTGCCAAATTTGTCTCGAAGCTATATGCAAGGCAAATTTCTTTGAGGGACAAAAATCGCTTCCACCATATTGTCAATGGCGTCTGTACTTGTGGAGACTACTGGTGATTTTTATTATGGTTCGTGAGTAAGGCCTTAGTTGACGCTTTGAAGATACAATAGAGTGAGGTTGTATGATGTTATTTCGGCAAGAAGAGACATTGGGGTCAGGAAAATTATCGAGGTGCTCTTGCTTAGATTAAAAAATTCTGATATCATGCAAGATTTGCTGCTCTCTGAGACGACATATTTTGACGTCAGCTAATGCAATGGAGTGCGATTCACTTCTCCTTTTTTACATGCAGCGAGCGAGTTTTGGAAAACCGATCTTGAAGTGTTTTATGAGGAAAGATCTGGTTTTGTGAGTTCAGAGAGGGGGGTTGCTCATCTGTATCAATGACACCCCCCCACAGTTGCCTCAGTCCGAGGCGCAGAGTAGCCTAAAGATAGTCAGATAATTGACTTGATCTTCTTTTGAAACGAGAACTCAAATTGGGATTCATTCAATTTTTGTTAACTCGAAAGATTCTGACCCAAGATGAGCAAATGGTAATTGTTTAGTGAGATTGAGATATGATTAAGAGGACAGGAAAAAGAGAATGGCTTGGATATGATGCTGGATAGGTCTTATTTCATGGCACCCTTCAGATCGAGTTGTCAAAACTCATGTCCCTCTACATGATTTAGGAACTGTGTGGACAGTCGATGCGGAAGATTCATGATTTGAGTTTGGCGTTGAGAGTGAACTAGAGCTTTAGAGTTTTGATGAAACTGAAAAATTCCTGGTCAGCTGATACAATTGTAGCTGCAGATTCGTCTCAGGAAGTAATAAGTGAAGTCGTCACCACCTGCCTCATTCGGTTTTACAGTTCTTGACATGGTTTGATCCAGTGTTTGCATCAAGCATGTGGTTGCATGAATGGAGTGAAGACGTCCGAGCTGTACTGACTGTCGTTGTATCGAATTCTCGATAATGAGGAAGCTTGGACATCTTTTGTCCAAGTGCCCTGGAAAAGCAAGATCTCGCAAAGCGACGGGATCTGCGTATAGCTCACAAGCCTTATGTTAGTTTGGTTAGTTTCTTTTCTTGGCCAATAGATAGGATAATATACCTACATCACTTTTCTGTTGCTCTGTATCTATGAGTGATAAGTGCCTGTATTACTCGTCAAAAGAAAAAAAAAATCTTTTGTCAAAGTGCAAGCACCAGACTAGCTTCAGGCAAGTGAGACAGTTGCTTGATCTAGACTGGACCGTACTTTGAATTTTTCGTTTAATCTAAATTTTGCAGCTCATATATTTCACTTTTACACTAAACACACATATAATTTGTTCATTAGTTTGTGAAATTCAAAAATATCTTAAATTTTGGTAGGAATAGTTAAGAAGTATTTTCAGTGATTTTGTTGAAGTGTAAACAAATGGGTGCAAGCTTTAATCTCGAGTTGCATCATGGCTACTTTTCCACTTTATGTGCACAATTATGAGCTTCGGTTAGCTCTATACGTCGTATCCTATTTTAAATCACCCTTCTCAATTTGGTCGAGAACATATCATCTATGTTAAAATCAAAGAATTTGCGAGAAATTATTTTCATGACCTAATAGTATTACATCGTGTTAGAATCGAATACAAGACTTCACGCTAGTTGAAAATTATAACTTAAATACTTTTTTGGTTTATGTTGAGTAACCTTTCATCCATGAAAGCAAGCAAATAATATGTGGTAGTTGCCGGAACATCAAAATTATCCCAACTCGTTAGCCTTATTTTTCTCTGGTCTAATCACATCGAATTGCGTTGTAATCACTTTGAAATGAAATGTTCTCCTCAATTTTATCTCGACTTTGCTCAATGGAACAAACTATATTTTTCATCGAGACCCGGCATATGATATGTTATTTTCTCGATATGTCTAGCTAATTTAGTATAACAAAACAAGTGTGAACAACAAAGGTTTGTCTTTTCATCATCATGTGAAGCAACTAATGCTCTTCCAATCCAAAGGTCATCATGCTCGAGAAACTTAGAATTAGTCGAGAAAAGTTCAAAACCCATTAGCCAAGACGACGTCGCTTCCCCCTTTGGCCAAAACGACAGCGTTTCGAGCGCGGAGGCCCGATCGCCAGATCCGCCAAACACTAGCCTACATCAGAGTCTCCCCAATCGCTCCACTCTCTCTCTCTCTCCCCCCCACTCGCGAAATCATGCCGGGTGCAGAGAAACCCTTGACGGCGGCGACTGCCGCCCTCCGCCGCCGGCTCTTCTCGTCCTCGTCCGGACCCAGCCGGTGGGCGACGCCGGGCCACGAGGAGCGCCCTAAGGGCTACCTGTTCAACCGGGCCCCGCTGCCGGCCGGCCAGTCCCGCAAGTGGGAGGACTGGGAGCTCCCGTGCTACGTCGCCAGCTTCCTGACGATCGTGATCCTCGGCGTGGGGCTCAACGCGAAGCCCGATCTCACCATCGAGACCTGGGCCCACCAGAAGGCCCTCGAGCGGCTGCAGGTGGAGCAGCAACAGATGGGCGAATCCGACTGATTAGGGTTTTGGAGGGCAATTGGAGTAAGTTCGAGTTGAGTTTTGAGCTCTTCTTCCTTTTTGTTTTCCTTGCTGGGGGAACTGAGGTTCGATGGGGTTTGACTTTTGGCCTCCGTGTCGAATGTTGATATAATGTTAGCTCAATAATCATCTATTTGATGTTCGAAATCTGACTTTTGCGGTGATCGATGCTGCGAATTGAGCTGGAATCTATAATGCTTTTAATTGACTATGCTTTGCCTATTTTGGTTTTCGCACGTTAATGTTACGATTAGGTGTTGGAAAACGATTCCGTCCATTGCAGTTCGTTGGAATTCTAGGGATCGCAATGTGTCTTTGTTTCAATCTGGCAGTGGGCTCGGAGATGAATTTTTTGGTGTTCTCTTGTGTGCCGCGTAGCTGTTAAGGAACTAGAAGCTCTGTGTTGGAGTTTCAGGGATGGTCTTGTAACCCGCGTTGTCGGCAAAAGTTTCTAGCAAATTTCCGACGCTCCTTTTCTGTTGTTGGCAATATCATGATTATGGTTCGACATCGAGAAAGAAGAATGTAGCCTGTGGTCTCAAACACTCGATGTACCTTTTGCCATTTTATCGGTGTGTAAATGCTTATGCGTGAATAAATGGCTAGAAAGATTGACACCAGAATAGCCACTAAAAGAAAACAAATGTGGGGAGCTCAAATACTCGTGCTGAACATGCATTTCAAGTATTCTCCATAAACTTTGAAGTCAACTATCCAGCTCATGAAAGTCAATATGCCTAATCTTAATCCTGTTACCTTAACCTGCTCAAGTAATTCAGGTTTCATCCTTTATTGCAGAAGTCAGCCTTCTTTCTTATGTCCTTATTGCCTGTACTCATTAATCCTCTAATGTGTCAAGATGCACCAATTTAACTATATACCCATATATATTGCCACCCGAGAGTATAGTATTACAACCTTAGTTTTTTTTTTTCTAATAATACGAACTCCTTTTTGGTGGGGTTGAAAGCCAATATTGCACAACTCAGTCCTTGTCCATCTTACCTTTTCCTTTGGTGTTGCATATCCGTTTATTCTTTTACTTGGACATCATTCCATGTTAGTTCTGAAAACTTAGTTGGTCAATCACAAACTCAAAATTACTCTGATATTTCCTGTTGCACCATGGCATGGCACTCTGGTCTGTTAGTGCATCCTTCCTGCCTCAATATCATCTCAGGTTAAATTGTAAACTCTGTGAAGCTTCTACATTCGAAAAGTCCAAAATGAAATTGAAAGAATACCTACTTCTGCTGGATTGCTTTAGGACAATGTTCAAGTTTAGGGTTTTCTTTTGATAGGTAATTAATGTTTTATGCAGGTTTTGAGCATGTTTGTAGTTGAATAATGATATTGATTTTGTTTGGAAGGACTTCCACTACGATGTATGTGTTCTGATCCATATTCCAATGGTTATCTACATATGTTGCTGCCTGCTGGAATGTAGCAACTCTAGGGATATGCTTATCATGGAACTCCATTGCTAGGTCCATTTTTCTCCTTATTACTGTGCGTACAAACACTCTCACGATAACATGCTGTTGTTAAGCTTCATATATCTGGCTATTTTTATACCAGAAAATTTCTACAATGATCGAGATCACTTCTTACAAGGTCAACGCTAACCAGAAAGATTAGCCTGAGTAAACAATCTACTTCTTTTTGGCCATAGAGTCAACAATCTACTTGGCTTGAGGATATTCTTCAATTTTGTTCAGATCTTGAATTTTGGAATCTAGGATAGTCTTAGAGATAGAGATAGATGGGTAGAGTTAGTTTAATTTATTTGAAGAAATGACATTTCATTAATAATCTAGTGATAGTTCCTGATGGGGCCTTCTTATGGTGAGAAAGTTGATGTTTCATGCACTCATGATGTGCTGGCTCATTCTGTGGTACAGTGGAGTTCATCCACATTAAGTTATGGATGATCTGCTACTACTAGAAAAGTAAGGAATTGTAGGAGTGCGAGTTTTGCTATAATAAAAAGGTTGCTTTATGATGACTTGGAGGTCCCAGGGTTAAGTCAAGATAACAGCACCTTTTCAAATAGGATAACTGGAATGTTTGACCCTGCTTAGATCCTTTAATGTGCGAACTTCATGCATCGAGTTGCTCTTTTACCTGTAAAACCTGCAATGTCAGTTTAATGGAATCGAAGCGGTTCTTATTTTTTCATCTTTTGAATGATAAACCAAGGGGTGCCACCCCTATGCGAAAATTGCAAAACCTATACATATTCCAACAAACTAGAAATATGAAATTGGATTTTCCTGCTATACCAAAAGTGAAGGGTGTGTGAAATAGCTTTTTAAATTTGCTTCATTTGTCATAATGGAGTATCTACAGATACTTGGTTACTGATTTCTTTTGGATTTGGTTCATCTACACGTGATCTCGAGTATGTAATCACTGTGCCTAAATCGTTGGATTTGTAGTGAATTATTTTTTTATTATTGGGCAGAGGAACTTTTGTCCATGTCTACTTTTTGCAGTGTATGTGAAATAATATGGTGCTTTTAGGCATCTTTGTCAATTGTCACTGAAACTCCTGTTAGATCTCTGGTCTTGGATGTACATGTCTGGTCAGATGTCGCCTTGTTCTTGTGCTTTCTAGCATTTATCATTTGGCATTTCTCTAGAAGAGTTGATGCGTGGAAAGATTGCCTAGATTAGCAATTAAGCCCTGCAGCTCCACCTCCTTGCTCACCCCCCACTCAAAGACAATCGCTCCCAGTTAAAGTGTTGGCAAGTAGGTATAAAGATAGGCATGAAGATGTCTCATTTCACAAGATTTAACGAGGTTTTTCATATTATGCCCATCTTTATCTTCAAGTGATTGAAGGACCTAGGAATACGAAGTGGAGAATTCTCTGCGATGCAAGATTGCAGGTACACTGAAGGATTATATTGTTGATTAATAAGTATACGTTGAGTTTCGTGAATACTTTCTTCTGCCCGGGTTACGTTCCTACCCAATCTTTGTCACTTCACTATCTGAAAGACTCTTGTCCTGCCTAATCGTTGTAGCTTCATTAACTGTTTGGAACACTTCTTATGATGCTTTTGTCGATCCATGCTGACGGTCGTACTAGGAACTTTTCGTTTCTAGGAGTATAGTAGGTATACGGATTGCTCAGCCCTTGAACTCCGGAACTTTCCTTGGTGCGCATGAGTTGAGAGGAGTACTTTTTGAATTGTTTCTTTTACCCCGATTCTGGTTGCCTTCTATATCTTGTCCGTTGATGAGATGGAAGAACCCAATGCAAAGCCAGTCTGCCTCAGAAAATTCTGCGCTGTACTGCCCTGAAATCCTCCCCGTGATCTTTGTGAACTGTTTCTCTTTCAGTTTACCAGTCGGTGACCAAAAAAAGAATATAAACCAAAAAGGGCTGAAGATAATCAGTATATTAGAATCGATTTGGTCAATCGAATCTCGGTCATTTCTTGTGTTTGGATTGAGGGAAGTTGAAGGAAATAGTACCCCAAGGAAGTATTTTCCTGATTTGGTTGGGTGTTTGAAATAGGGAGCAAATGAATGGAAGTGATTTTAAACAAAAGAGAAAAATTTCTTTCAGTAGGGGGATAGAAATGGAAGGAAATGCAAATGTTGCATCTTTCTTCCCTAATTACCCTTTCTGTTATAGTATTAGAGAGAAAGAAAACTGACAATATGCAATGAAGTACGTCTATTTCTTACTTCTTAAAAAAAAACAGAATGCTTACAGCGGATGCTCTTTTAAAGAGTTAATACATGACGGTTAAGAAAGAAAGTGCATTCACTAACTCCTAAAAAATAGCAACGTGCAGAAACCACCTACTGACTTGGTAAAACACAAACCCATATTCAGCACCACTATAAAACAGACTCCTAAAAAACTAGGACAACAAACAACTGACTATAATAGGATAGATAAACATGGTTAAATAAGATCACGTGACTCAACAATCTCTCCCTTAAACTGAAAGTTTGCCAACATTAAGTTTAATACAACTTGTCAACACCAAGCAGGTTTCTCAGCTTTTGAAATGCAGCCAACTTGAGGGATTTAGTAAAAATATCAGCAACTTGATCTTCACTTCTACAGTAGATAAGATCAATGACTCCTTCCTTCGTGAGATCCCTTAAGAAGTGAAACTTCACATCTATATGTTTGCTTCTTCCATGTAAAACAAGATTTTTGGAGAGCTTTATTGCTGAACTATTGTCACAATAAATTGCAGTAGGTCCTTGACTCTTGAAATGAAGTTCTTCAAGAATTTTCCTCAACCAAATAGCTTGACAAGCACATGAAGTTGCAGCAACAAATTCAGCTTTAGTGGTTGATAAAGTGACAATCGGCTACTTCTTTGATGACCATGAAATAGCTCCCGAACCCAACATAAATACATATTCGTAAGTGCTCTTTCTATCATCTTGATCTCCAGCATAATCACTATCAGTGAAGCCCATCAAACTTGAGTTTTCTCCCTTCTTGTAGAGCAGTCCAAAACCAATCGTACCTTGCAAGTATCGAAAAATTCTCTTGGCAGCAAAGAGATGCATCTCAGTAGGATTCTCCATGTATCTGCTTATAAGGCTCACAGAATACATTATATCTAGCCTTGTTGCGGTCAAATACATTAAGCTTCCCTCAATTTGCTTGTACATAGTGCTGTCAACTCTCTTTCCTTCAGAATCTTTCGCTAACTTCAAACCCGCCTCAGTTGGTGTGTTAGAAGGATTACAATTCTTCATTTGGAACTTGTCTAAAATGTCTTGCACATATTTTCTTTGTGAAATGAAAATTCCACCAGCGAATTGAACAATCTCTATCCCAAGAAAATAGTGCATCTTTCCAAGATCAGACATATCAAATTCAAGCATCATAGACTGCTTAAATTTTTCAAACATGGCTCTATCATTTCCAGTATAAATCAAATCATCCACACATAAGCAAACAATAAGCATCTTTCCTTCATCTCCAGTTTTGACAAAAAGTGTATACTCATATGGACACTTTTGAAGACCTTCCTTCAGAAAATAGGCCTCTATACGACTATACCAAGCCCTTGGAGCTTGTTTTAGTCCATATAAAGCTTTGTTTAGTTTATACACCTTGTGCTCACTTCCAAACTTTACATAACGGAGTTTGATCAATAAATAC